GAAAGAGTCTTCAAAACACAGGTAAAACTGTGTTAAACAGTGGGGTAACATGTTTGAAATGACAGCACACTGCTGCTTGTTGGCAGCCTGACTCACTTGACTTGTCTCACACACACCCAGGGGGGGAGAAAGAGGACACATTGACCCAGGAAAGAGTCTTCAAAACACAGGTAAAACTGTGTTAAACAGTGGGGTAACATGTTTGAAATGACAGCACACTGCTGCTTGTTGGCAGCCTGACTCACTTGACTTGTCTCACACACACCCAGGGGGGGAGAAAGAGGACACATTGACCCAGGAAAGAGTCTTCAAAACACAGGTAAAACTGTGTTAAACAGTGGGGTAACATGTTTGAAATGACAGCACACTGCTGCTTGTTGGCAGCCTGACTCACTTGACTTGTCTCACACACACCCAGGGGGGGAGAAAGAGGACACATTGACCCAGGAAAGAGTCTTCAAAACACAGGTAAAACTGTGTTAAACAGTGGGGTAACATGTTTGAAATGACAGCACACTGCTGCTGGTTGGCAGGCTGACTCACTTGACTTGTCTCACACACACCCAGGGGGGGAGAAAGAGGACACATTGACCCAGGAAAGAGTCTTCAAAACACAGGTAAAACTGTGTTAAACAGTGGGGTAACATGTTTGAAATGACAGCACACTGCTGCTTGTTGGCAGGTAAACATTGTTTAATTGTTTAAGTGTTTTTAAATGTATGGAACAGTGTTTTGTCTCTTTCAAAACTCTCCCGTCATTGGCCGGATACATGGGGACGATTTTATATTCACTATGACCGTTACTATTCCAGTGAGACGAAGTACGTCCGGTGACAGGAGTGATCCCATGTTAATTTTGTCCAAAAACCAGAGCATTCCCTTATCCCTCTTAGGTGCCTTACAAACAATGGACGTCCACTCTCGGGAGCGTCGGAGTGGTGCGGTCACCCTAAGTGACAGACCTAAAGTATCCGGGATTCAGGCATCTTCCCTGGCTTGTACATTTTTGGTGATGCGCCCTGGAGATATCAGCCTATTTTAAACAACTTTTCCCCGCCTTTCAAACACTTATTCCTGGGTACAAGTGTTATCTTTCCCCCCCTGGGTGTGTGTGAGACAAGTGAACTGAGTCAGCCTGCCAACAAGCAGCACCGTGCTGTTATTTGAAACATGTTACCCCACAGTTTAACACACCTTTACCCACGTTTCAAGCACTTACTGCTGGGTCAATGTGTGCTCCAATGTGTCCTCTTTCACCCCCCTGGGTGTGTGTGAGACAAGTGAAGTGAGTGCAAGGTTATGGAGGTGCCACTGTTATGGGGACATGCTGGTGGTCATGAGTCCGTCCTTCGGGGCTCTGTGAGCGGGCAGAGAGAGGTGATTTCCCCCTGGTCTCTCCTGGAGGTGCAGAGTCCCACTGTTGGGGACTGCTGCTGGAGGTCCCTAGTCCGTCCTTGGGGGCTCTGTGAGCGGGCAGAGAGAGGTGATTTCCCCCTGGTCTCTCCTGGAGGTGCAGAGTCCCACTGTTGGGGACTGCTGCTGGAGGTCTCTAGTCCGTCCTTGGGGGCTCTGTGAGCGGGCAGAGGGAGGTGATTTTCACGGTCTCCGCCCTGGAGGTCTGAAATACACAGAGTCCCACTGTTAGGGGAACATGCTGGAGGTAATTAGTCCGTACTTTGGGGGTCTGTGAGCGGGCAGAGGGAGGTGATTTTCACGGTCTCCGCCCTGGAGGTCTGAAATACACAGAGTCCCACTGTTAGGGGAACATGCTGGAGGTAATTAGTCCGTACTTTGGGGGTCTGTGAGCGGGCAGAGGGAGGTGATTTTCACGGTCTCCGCCCTGGAGGTCTGAAATACACAGAGTCCCACTGTTAGGGGAACATGCTGGAGGTAATTAGTCCGTACTTTGGGGGTCTGTGAGCGGGCAGAGGGAGGTGATTTTCACGGTCTCCGCCCTGGAGGTCTGAAATACACAGAGTCCCACTGTTAGGGGAACATGCTGGAGGTAATTAGTCCGTACTTTGGGGGTCTGTGAGCGGGCAGAGGGAGGTGATTTTCACAGTCTCCGCCCTGTAGGTCTGAAATACACAGAGTCCCACTGTTAGGGGAACATGCTGGAGGTAATTAGTCCGTACTTTGGGGGTCTGTGAGCGGGCAGAGGGAGGGTGATTTTCACGGTCTCCGCCCTGGAGGTCTGAAATACACAGAGTCCCACTGTTAGGGGAACATGCTGGAGGTAATTAGTCCGTACTTTAAAAAGTATGAAAGGGGGGAGGGTACATTTCTCATAAGGGAACAGTTTCAATTGCTAGCAGAACAAGAAGACCCAACCCATATACAGATATTGATGAAAATGATAACAGTGTGTAAATGATGTTAAATGATATGGATGATAAATGATGAGATTGTTCAAAGAATGTCCAAATGATGTGATACTTCAAATGATAAAATCATTTGAAGGAAGAACCAGCTACAATGCTAATATGAAGGGAATCAATGCAATTTACTATACTATTCCAAGATGGTGTATTCTTTATTACTTTATACTATTCCAAGATGGTGTATTTTTTATTTACTTTTTACTATTCTAAAAAAAAAGTTTGTTTCTTTTATACTTTGTAAAAACAAGTGCCTTAACACTGAATGTAGTATGAGAAGGATTTCTGTGAAAAGAGGGAGTAAGAAATGTTCTGATACCAAGCTAAGTGGTGCTATTCATGATATTGAATGTTAACACTAGAAGTTATGCACAAAGAAAACTTTTATGATTGAAGACCAGCCAAAATATTTTTTTTATTTGTTGTATTTTTTGTATTTTAATGACGGTTATTTAAACCATTCCATTCTGATTGTATGTTTTTGATATGAGTTATGTACTATGCAAAGTTCAGATGAAGAACTCATTAATTTCAGTATTGTGTTCACACCTTAAAAGGTGTGAAAGGAGGGATTGTTAGAAATTTAAAATCAATGTTTACAGATGAAGAACTCATTAATTTCAGTATTGTGTTCACACCTTAAAAGGTGTGAAAGGAGGGATTGTTAGAAATTAAAATCAATGTTTAATAGCATAATTAGTCTAAAATATATCGTCAGTTTTAAAAGCTGTTTTATTGTGAAAAAACCCGGAAGTTCTCAAAGTCTCAATGCCAAGCTTTTATTCTGAAAATCCTTCATATCCGGTCAGCATGCCGCGAACAATGTTTTAAACTAACGATTACAGCTGTTTATAAGGTATTAAATAGAAAGTCATGAAAGAGATAAGGAGGAGAAAAGGCTTGAGGAAGTAGGCAGGGAATACAGAATGTTGAAGTCCTCTGTTTTACGCGATGTCGAACATCGAAGACCGAGGAGGATGGCCCACTATCTGCACAGCGGTAGACAACGAGACGTGGATAAAAACGGATGACAGAGGACAGCTCGCTCTCTTTTCTTCGCTGCAGCCTACCCTGAAGACATCACCGGCTTTGTCTCTCCTTACCCATGCTTGTTCTTTAACCACGTTACTTAATTAAACTCAACCAATTTGAACCTTTTCGGAGACTCCATTAGTCTCTTCATTCTAAGCTCCTCTCCTGGGCGCGAGAACATCGAATACTTCAATAATGTCCTTCATTTTATTTAAAATAAAATAAAATAACAAAATATTTTTGTATGGATATTTGAGACGTGTATGCTTCCCGGACTGTAAGCTAGCAACATGTGCTTTTCTGCTGCTCAATAAAGTTACCTTTTGCACCTTCGATGCACCGCCTCCGACTCCTATCTCTCTGCACTACAATACTATTGTTAATAGTTCATTCTTATCTAAAAACAGCGGGACGATAGCTCATATATGACATTTCAAAGGTCTTTTATCTTGAGCGCAGTAATGGTAGGTATCTAATTACTTATTTATTTAGAATGGTGATATACACAGTGATAGTTGTTAAGGACTAACGTTTATAATAAATAGCCTAGTATTTATCCATATTCATAATAATATTTATATATTCAACAACCATTTTTAATGTAAAAGGCTCATAAAATAAAAACACAACACTGTCATTGCAAGTGACACTCAGTTAGTTGACTTTTATGTTCAACTGCTAAATTCGTTACTGATAAAAAAGGGCTTCTACCTAATTACCTTAAATAAACTCACTAATTAATGAAACCAGTTCAATACGCATTATTCTTATTCTTATCATTCTTTATGAGCGCAGAAATAGTCTTAAAATCAGACCTGTTTTTTAAATGAAATCTGCCGGCAGGCAGGCAGCTCTGATCACCTAATGATAAATGTGCCACACCTAATCGCCGGCCATTCAGCCACAGCTCCCTCTATACAAATCAAACTGTAGACAGTGTGAAAGCACTTATTGTTTTAAATAATGGTCGGAATGTGACCTGTGAGCCTTCTGAATTACCGTGGGACAGCACATTCTAAACTAAAATGTTCAATCGATAAAGTAACATCTTATCTTATCTTATCTTAATAATATCTTCATATTCATAATAATAATAAATCATACAGTATGTGTCCGAAAGGGAGCAGGAGGAAGCAAACAAAAAATATACTGCATATTAAAGCAAACGATTGTAAAGGTAAAAGTATGAGCATAACAAATAAAGAAGTGTAATGTAAACATTTACATTATTATTATGATTATTTAATATATAAAGACTATATATTATTGAATTACAAGATTAGATATACTTTATTTGATCTAAAATATTGATGTGTTCAAATGCTCTTCAAAACACAACTGAAAGTCCATGAAAAGTTGTCTTTCTGTATTTGTGAATGAAGCGCCATCTCCTGGTTAAATCCTGAAATTGAAAATCTGGCAATGCCCTCTTGGAAAATAGTGGGAGGGCTTAACATTCCCAGACGTTGGTCTTAGGCAGGTCTTAGGCAGGAAGCTGTAAGCTGGAGTCCTATCTGGAGTGCTACATCTGTACATTTTCTAATGCCCCAACTCTTTACCTGCCCACTGTTTACGGCAGCATGTTGAACGGTCGTTGTGAAGACCACCATGGTTGTGAACTTGACCACTTCCTCGACAGTATGAAAGGCTGCTGGAAACCCTGTTGGCAGCACAATATGTTCATAACCACATAATGGGTTTATATTGTCAATCACTATGTGCATTCAAATATACTATTATAATATGTCTTATATTTACAAATGACTTCAGAATATGGGAAAAATACCTGATGCTTTGTTTCCTAAGAAGCCATGTGTGAAGACCTCACTGATCCAGTCCTGCAGCTCAGTGTCTCTATGCACCTCACAGTCTGAGGGATACTAGTGCTCCACTACTGCCTTCACAAAGCTGGTATACACAAAACAGTTGTAGTTTTAATAATATGAGTGCCTGAGAAAGTCTCTAATGGTGTTTGTACAATGAATCACTGTGGACAGTCACAATATTTATGAATAGGTAAAACCTTTGGATGATGTTCCACAGCTTCAGGCCATCATCTCTGTAGTAAAAGTTGGGGATAGACTCCAGTCCTCGTGCAGCGATGTTTTCCGGCAGACAGAGAGAGCTGTAGGTCATTTCAGAGAGATCCCTTCTCATGAGCTCAATTACTCCATCAAATCCAAGTGAACTCTAACAAATCAAAAATACACATATACCATCAGACACGTTTATTGACATCAAATTAGAAACCATCCAAAACGGCCTAATCTAAGCTGCAAGGTGTATTATGCATTTGATTTGATTTATAATTGTAATAAATATATCAATTTTAAAAAGCCTTACATTAGTGAGAGCCCCATCAGGTCCTAATGTAGGCGGGCTCTAATGTTTATGTGAAGAGTGTGCCGGAAGTGGGGAAACAGCAGCTGAACAGACATAGGAAACAAATATAAAAGTCCAAGTAAGATGCTTGATTCAGCAGACAACAGGCAGAACATCATCAGTGTAACTGAAGGAACCTATAAGCAAACACAACTGAAATCAATTACAATGTTTGTATTAAAAGTTTGACATCTTCAATACATGCAAAAATAATGGTTCATAAAACCATATCCACAGATGATCTATGAAAAGTAAGTAACCAAAAAAACAGTGAATGACAAATAACAAAACGATCTTCAAGTACAATCAAAGATACAAAAACAGTGAGACACACATGTAATACACACATGAAAGTTGTGTTTCATGCTTCAAAAGATGTGTTTTAGATGTGTGCAACATCTTCACGGATACCTCTCACCCCAGCCACAACCTGTTTGCACTTCTGGCATCTGGCAAGCGTTTCAAAAGGGCCTTTCTTAGAGTACTGTAGTTTCCTTTGGAATTCACATGTTGTGTTACGTTAATCTCAGCATAGTCACATACTTTGCATTCAACCTTCCAAAGTAATGGGGTTTAATCAAGGAAACTTGTTTGCAAGCATTCCTCTTTTTATTTTACAAATGTCCTGTCTCAGCTTTTCTTTCAACCATCTCTATTATAGACATAATATACCTGAAAATCAATCAATACCAATTATAAGCATTATTTCAGAACAAGGGAATACAAAAAACCTGCACTACCTCTGTTGTGTGGAGTACTTATACCTTGTAAATTGGGTGAATCACAGGGAAGCTGCGGAGAGCTGCAAGAGCGAAAACCTCTGCCAGACAGTGAGTTCTCATGAGGTGATGGACTGTTTAGTGATCCATGCAATCTGCATTTTTAATGAACATCTTGGCTAGCAGCCAGTCCGTTTCTGGATCACTGGGCAGGAAGATGGGGTTCTTCTCAGATGGTTGTTGATTCAACTGGAAATTGATAAGAAATGGATTAACCCTCCCTTTACGATACCTCAAAGACGGTTTTCCATAGACTGACCATGGTAAAGACCCATAACATTACATGCTGGCTTTTAAATTGATTTTACAGTACCTGTATTGCAATTGGCATCAGTTTGTTTTCTGGGTTCACGTTGAGCAAACAGAGACCAGCAGTCACGTGCAGAGGTTCACCATTATAGGCTGCAGGGGGAATTCCATCCATCTTCTTCTGGTCATAAAGGAACATGTTGCCTTTCTGGAAAGACATCAGAAAGAAGTGTTTAAGACATCGAGAGGTATTGCAGAATTGTAATAAGTCAAGGAAGTATGACAGAGGGATGGTAAATGGACAAATCGTGATTCTGAAACAAAGATTACCATCCATTTAAAGTTAATCTTCACTCATACCTCCATTTCCTTCTGCAGAGAGCTTCCCTCTTCCAGGAACGGCTTCTCCATTTCCTCTGTGACCGGGAAGTTTGTGGGAAGCTCTGAGCAGCGCTTTATAACACCGGGGTTGAGTTCATTCAGGAACTGATATCCATAACAGTCATCTTCCATCCAGTGGTCTGCAACATACTCTGGAAGAATAGCAATTGATATATACAAAATATAAAATAATTATATATTTGGTTTAAAACGAATAACAATTGGTACATTTAATAAATAATATAATATCATTTATCTAAAATGTTGTTGGGTGTTTCAGGTTCAACATAATCATCATTGTCATTGACTGTAAAGCAAGAATGTTGGTCAGGTATTTAAATAATTTTAACTTTTGCTGAAATACTTTGTAGAAAACAAAACATTTTACAGAACAGGAAAAACATCTACTGAATATCTATCTGTTGTTATGAAACCATGACATAGATGGGGTGAGTTACAGTGACAACTGGTTAATGGGATAAAAAGAAAATACCTGACATTGTTGTCTTTTTAAACCAGAATTTTTTTTTTGTGTCTTCAATGCTTCAACGAGAATGTAGGTCATGCTATCGGAACGTCTGGAACCGATTCATTCAGCCCGGAGGCTGTTTTTTATGGCATTTAGCCATGGGAATGTTCCCTTTGGAATAACAACAGCAAGCACATACTGTAATTGTACATTAATCACGTACTATTAATTTAATGATGTTCCAACAGAATCAGAAATCCTTTATTTGTCCCGCAACTGGGACATTTACAGGTGTCACAGCCGCAAAGGTGCAGTGCAATAAGAAAAAGAGTAGACTTGTAGACTAAAAGGCATCACATATTATTGTTAATCTTCCCATATGAACAATGTATATTTTTCATATTAAATGTAACAGTGATAAGAGCGGACTTATCACTGTTACTGATGTCAGTCCTCTCTGGTGTTTGGAGTTATGTCTACACCTGTCTGCCAATTAAATGTATTTAAAAATATTAATTATTCGGAGGCCCAAGTGAAGGTTACAAATGGGGGATTCAGCACCTTCAGATCTACAGGTTTAATGACAACTGTAGAGGCATCCGGAGAGAGGTAAGAAAGCTAATGCTATGCTAACTGAGTGCTAACAAAACGTTGGCGTATCATGCACAAGTAATCTCCCAGTATATGTAAATATATTGCAATATTCCCTGTTTTAAATTATATTCTCAGACTCAGTGTAGTGGTTTGTGTTACTGTACAGTAGTTCAGCAGTAAACAGTCAGACGGCTGACATCCAACACATTCTGCATAGATAGGTAATGTTTGCTACGTCTCCCTCGTTTCCCTGTTAGTTTAAAAGAATAAGATGTAATCCTGTGGTCCTTTTTTTTGTTTTGTTTGTTGGTCATTGGAGTGGCTGTTAAAGCCAGCGTCATAGCAGCAAAATAACAAAATTAAAACTGTGTATAGGTAGGGTGTAGAGGGAGGTTTGGAATTGGGACTAACAATCAGATACAGAAAGAGTTAAAGAAGATAAACACATTTTTTTTTTAAGTACAATATTAAGATTAAGATTATACGTTACGATATAGAACATTATTTACATGAAATCTGGATGTAACAAAGAACTACGTACAGTATACTCTTGCAGAGTAATCAAAATCATCAAATCAAATATTTGCACTATTGTTCTGGAAAGTGGAAAGCTGTCGAGATACTAAGAGAGGTAGCTTGTGTACAAATGTGCAAATCAAACAAACAAAAACACTAAATTATCTCCATAATTCTGGTTGCAATAAATCTATAACTATTGTTGATTAATGTGTTTATAACTTAAATGTATTAGTTGTTAAAGTAAAAAAACTGCTGGGTATACATCCTCGGATATATGTTGATTTATATTTTTTATTAATAATCTGAACCTGCAATGTACGTCATGATGTCAGACAACTGTAATGGAGTTAATAAGAACAATATCTGCCATAGTGGTGTACTAGTTTAATGTTGCATAAAATGGAAATACACAAGTAGCCTACAACAACCTCAAATAAGCTTAACCAAACTTGAGTAAATTATCATATTCTAATTGATATGAAATGAAAACCACATTTAGTAAAGCATTGATATTTTTTATTGAAAGCACAAGGTAACATTCATGTTACACACTTCATCCACTGGTATATGACTGAAGTTGCACTGACCAGACTTTATTAATGGTTCGATTAACCCAAACGAAACCCAACAAAAATAGTTTCGTCAGTTCTTCAGTTGCAAAGATATAGTTTCTGCCCGGCCCCCACAGATTCACCCACACCTTGTCGTCTCCAGTCAGTTGGATCACGCTGCTCGTGCTGGCCACCTGGCTGCACTTCACAGGGTGAGTGGTGTGATACAGAGACACAACTTTTGTATATAGCACACTGCCCACGCCCACTACTTACAAATATCTGAGATTTCTTATTGAACAGAACTTGTCTTTCAAGTTACACACCGAAAATGTTGTTTCAAAGCAAAAAAATTAAATTAGGTTTCTTTTACAGAAATAAATCCTGTTTCTCTTTTCAGACAAGGTAACATTTGATATCTGCAACGTTTTTACCTGTATTAGATTATGGTGATTTGCTATACATAAATGCCTCCGACCAGTGCCTAAAGAGCTTGGATACTGTGTACCATTGTGCCTTACGATTTATTACTGGATGTGGATACCGAGTACACCATTGCACCAGTGGCGGCTGGTGGACTTTTTTTTTGGTGGGGCTGTTGACATATAGAAGACAACCAATGTGGGGGGTCAGGGGGCACATTTTTTCGAGAAATGACCCCTTAAATTATGACTTCTGGTGATGTTAGAGGGGGGGGGGGGAAAGGAGAAATTAAGGCTTAAAAATATGAGAAGACTGATCAATACCTCCATAATCTTCAGTGTGGAAAATATTATTTATCAACCTGAACATCTACCACTGTACCAGGAATTTGTGTTCTCAGAACTGGTCTTTCTTTTTTTCTTTCTTAAAACTGTTCATGTTTTGTGAACCAACACCTCCACCAAGTGGCTTTACAGTGAACTGCATGTGGGATATAAAAACTGTAGATAATGTGTTTCTGGTCATTAATAGCATCTTTTCAGTAGCATTAATTATAAATATTTAAGTGGTTCAATACAAGTCACTACAGCATTTCAAACTGAACTGTGAATAAATGCAATTTAAAAAAAAGAACCACAGCACAAAACGTCATACATTGTGTTTTTTCTTTGTTTCTCTGAGGATTATTTACAAACAGGCTTATTTACATATAGCAATAACTCAGAAATGAAAAAGCTACATCGTCTAACACGAACAACCAGTTAGCATAATGATAATATATGTGTTATGTACAATGTAACTGGCAAGGCTAGAGCAAGGAAGAACATAAAGTTTGCAAAAGGTTTAAATAACTTCAAGTATCTGTCTTCAGATTACGTGGAGGTTTTAGTCCGATGGGAAGCAGATTTTAAGCGACACCGAAGATAAACCAAAAATGTGGTGGAGCTGCAAACCGTGTAGTGTTGCTGGGACAAGACAGGAGCTATAACCGTTGGAAAATACATCACAGACAACCATGTTTATATATATCTATGTCTGTCACTACCCGATCGGTCCACCTGCCCGATCTGTACTGCGCATGTGCGAGATGGTCCGCCATATTGTGGACAACTACATACGGCAACTCTAATAGGACACTTGACACAGTGGCTTTTGGCAAAGCAGAAAAAGATCTGATTGAGATGAGTTATTGTTATTACAACGTGACTTCACTATTATTTAACTTTTATTTGGGGTTAAGTACATTGTCAGAATAAGTGAGAAATGGATTTAACTTCTGTTAGACAGCTATATGCCATACATTTTTGCATACATTCAGAGTAAATATTTATTCAGTATGATAGCTGTCTAACAGAAGTTAAATCCATTTCTCACTTATTCTGACAATGTACTTAACCCCAAATAAAAGAACCCAATAAAAAGAGTTGTTAAATAATAGTGAAGTCACGTTGTAATAACAATAATCTCTCTCGGTTCTTTTTCTGCTTTGCCAAAAGCCACTGTGTCAAGTGTCCTAGTAGAGTTGCCGTGTGTAGTTGTCCAATATGGCGGACCATCTCGCACATGCGCAGTACAGATCGGGCAGGTGGACCGATCGGGTAGTGACACCCTCAACCAGTGCAGTAGCAGCCACTAGCAGCTGAGTCTGTTGCTGCTATCTGTAAACTATGCCGCCGAAACATAATTTCAGCCAATCAGCGTCGTCAAATCTGATGGTCACCGGGCGCCAATGTCAGCGCTCGGTGCAGTCTGTGAGTAGTTTGGACAGTGACTCGTATCCGGGTGACGCAGTAGTTGATGAGGATGGCTTCGTGTGCAGGTGGAGTCTCCGGACCTCGGTCCCCGCCTAATTCCGCTGTCGGTGTTCTTTTCCCCATAATGACCGCGTCGCTGCACATTATCCCTTACTTATTACATGGCTTAGTTGAATACTCGATTCTGATTGGTCAATTCAGAACACGTGACACGTTGTTAATCCAGAACAGACAGAGGGCTGTCAAGGATTTATTGACCGTTGTTAAGGATGCTCAAATCTGCAGAAAGAAGTCCGGTCGATTGAACTGTATACAGTTTGGCTGAACTGTATACAGTTTGGCTGTATACACCTTCATGCCGATCTAGATCCCTCCGCTTCGCGTCGGGCTCCTGATCTGCCTGTCGGTGTTCTTTTCCCCATAATGACCGCGTCGCTGCACATTATCCCTTAAACGGACCGTCCACACAGCAGCGTTAAAAAATCTTGGAACGCTTCTGCCCATTCACTTTGAATGGGGTGACGTCACTTTGCCTCACTTTTCGCCGAACTGCATTGTGGGCAGCAGAGCGGAGATTTTCAGGATTTTCAGGATTCAAAGTTGAGCAATGTTCAACTTTTGAAGCTGAGGTGGAAGCGTCAGCCAATCAAATCCTGTGTATGCAAATCTGACAGTTCAAGCGCTAGCCAATCAAACCGCGTGTATGCTGGGAGAGACATACCGCAGGTCATTTCCTCATATTCCAAAAAATGGAGGAGAAATTAGCGGTAGGGAATCACCCGGTGCTTTATGACCAGTCCCTATTTACCTACCGGGATATAAACCGGAGGAGCCAGGCATGGAGGGAGGTGGCAGAGACAGTGGTAGGTTTTCGCCTGTTTGGGGAGTTTATATCCAGTTGTTGACACGTTGTTAATCCAGAACAGACAGACCGCTGTCAAGGATTTATTGACCGTTGTTAAGGACGCTCAAATCTGCACAAAGAAGTCCGTTCGATTTAACTGTATACAGTTTTGGCCGAAAAGCAAACTGCATGCAGTTTGCTTTTCTAACTGACAAGACAAGAGCGACAAGGAAACAGCGGAGAAGTAACGGGCAGAAACCCTCCTTTTTACGCAGCGGTCCAGACATAGACATCAAACGGCGACACATATTCAGTTGCCAGTTACTTTGGCATTAGGGCAGGGATATCTAGATACTTTCCAAGGTTTGACATCATGAATTGTGCTACTTTTAAAGCAAGCAACGATGTTTTCAAATCTGTAATCAAAAAGCTCCGCCTTCCTGCCGTTGCTACGTTTTTCAAACGGTAACAACGGACTATTTTCCTTAGCGGATGCATGTCAATTTAAATCAATACATTGTAGTAATCACTAATTAACGGGGTTACATAATTCAATCAAGGAACTACAGGTTGGGGGTATTGTTTCCGCACGGACACATATGTTGACGGTACCTCCGGGGGTATATACTGGGTGTTTCTCAATCGCGAGTAAAGCTGCTTCAGAGCCACTATTTCAAGCACACTACGTCATCGAGTGCCGCCGAAGTACTGTTCCAATCTCCAGCATACTTGGAAATCTACCGAGCCCGGCGTACTCCGTTTGGAGAAATATCGAGGCTGCACATGAGTAGACTCCGCGGTCTTAAAATCCCCACAATGCTTTGCGCACGGACCAAATTCCCCAAATCTTTGGCGGAAGATGTAAGGCGGGGGCCTCTCATATGACGCCCTACTGCACACTTGCTAGCGTGTTCCACACTTCGTTTTCCGAATGCCAGGAAGTATTCTTGACTCGCTTCTGAAGCAAGATGCTCGGCAGACATGTGCTACCAAGCAAGCGTACTCGCGATTGAGAAACACCCACTGTGTCCTCCTCCCTTTCGCTTTCTCTTCTCTTCCTGGGCTGCGACCCGACAACATGTCCGTTTCTGCTGCTCATTAAAGTTCCCATTTGCACCTTCGAAGCACCGCCTCCGACTCCTATCTCTCGGCACTACATTGGTGACCCTGATGTGATAAGTCTCGCGAAGGATCCGAGACTGAACCGAACACGGCAAAAAGCGCAGCTTTTCTCGAAATGCCGGGGATTCTTGGAGACGTCCGTGGCTGCCACGTGCACACAGACTGAGGCTCGGTGCGCCCCACGGAATGGCTGAGGACGTCGCTCGCCATTCCCGCGACCTGCCAGGTATGGAGAAACCCGTCTTCTACCTCGTGGAGCTGTTTCTTCGGGACATGCGGCTGCGTGTCCGGGCTGCGCTAGCTAACACGGCTAGTGTTGAGCCCCGCGCTTTGGCCGAAGAAGCTAGCCGGTTCTTCCTGGCCGCCCGACAATTTACCCCTGAGGTGCTTGCCACTACACGCTGCAGCACCTTCCCTGGTGGGGGCACGCCGCCTGGCAGAGGCTCCGGGGCCGCCGACAGCGACTAACGGCCGTCGAGAACGGCTGGCCACGACTGCTAACAGCTAGCAGCTGATGGCTAACGACAGCTAGCCACGACAGCTGACGGCTAGCAGCTACCAACGGCTAACGACGACAGCTAGCAACGGCTGATGACGACGGCTAACGACTAGCAGCTAGCGGCTATCGACATCTGACTGTTTTTTTTTGTGGTGCCGGAGAGGAGGTTCGATCATGTCTGGTCGGCCTCGTGTGGACCCTCTCGCTTTTTCACCACCTCGACGGCGGCTTCGGACGTCGCCCATGCCTTCTTCGGCCCGTGGGTGGCGCGCTTCTGGACCCCGTCTCGCCTCGACTCTACGGTTTCGGACGTCGCCCATGCCTTCATCGGCCCGTGGGTGGCGCGCTTCGGGACCCTGCCTGGCCTCTCCTCTAACCGCGGCTCACAGTTCGCCTCGACGGCGGCTTCGGACGGCGCCCCGTCTGGCCTCTCCCCTGTCCACGGCTCCCTCCTCCCGGGGACACGGCTCCTTCCTCCCGAGGACTTCGTACCCGCCGCCGCTGTGCCTTCGCCTGCGGCCGGGGAGCGCTCTTCCCTGCTGGGGACCACCGGG